TCGTCAGCCTTAAAGGAGCTCTGGTGGCTGTATGGTTAAGGCATTGGGTTGTTCACTAAAAGGTCAGTGGTTTGAATCCACCAACTCCTCCATGGGAGAAAGATGAGGCAGTCTGCTTCCATAATGATTTATAGCCTTGGAAACCCTATGAGGGTCGCTGATGCACATGGGATCACCATGAGTCAAAATCAACTCGATAGCAATTTTTTTTTTTTTTTGTCAGCCTTAAACTTCTGTCTACACGTAGTAATAATGTTCAAGTCTTGTACCCTAATTGCCCTCTGGCTTTGCAATTTTAAGACTCTCACTCACTAATAGATGATGATAAGAGATCAAACAAAACAAAAAACCAAATTGGTTGCCATCGAGTTGATTTTGAGTCATGGTGATCCCATATATGTCAGAGCAAAGCTGTGCTCCACGGGGTTTTCAATGACTGCTTTTTTTTTTTCTTTTTTTCCTGGAAGTCGATCATTAGACCTTTCTTCTGAGGTGCCTCTGGGTGGGCTTGAGACCCCAACCACCCTTTCAGTTACTCTGGTTGGCAGTGAGCGCATTAACGATCAGCACCACCCTGAAACTAATGTAGGAGGTGAGCATATTATATTGTATAGCAGATTTTGAGAAGAGTAGGAAGAGTTCGCAGGTTCATTGGTTCTGAAGAGAAACTGACTTGGACTAATTTCCATTAAAAAGAAAAAAAAATCATTGGAAGGAGGTGGGGGTAGCTCACAGATCAGAGGGCAAAGCTGAACAATTAGCCTTGGGAAGGACAGAAGCCAGGGCAGCCTACTCTGTTGAGGTTAGTCTGCTCCCGTCATTTTCTGTCTTTGTATCTGGGTCCTCAAGATTCAAATATCCATTGGGAGAAGAGGCTGATTGACTAAGCTTGGGTCAGGTGACTGCCCGTTGGTAGGAAGAGGTAGAGCATTTTGATTGACAGTTGCATCGCAATTGCCTACAATGGGAAAGGGGAATCAATGGAAAGATAAAAAAGTAGACACTAAAAGAAAGGGGACAACAGGTTGCTCACTGTAAGAATACAGAATTTAATTCCATTTATATAACATTCTAGAAGAGGCAAAACTAAAGGATTGAAACCAGATCAGTGATTATTTATTTAGGGGTTTAGGGTTAGGGGAAGGGTTTGGCCACAAAGGGGCAGTTTTCTGGGATGATGAAATAAATGATTTCATATCTTGATTGTGATGGGGATTACATGAATCTATATATGTGTTAAAAGCCATTGACATATACTGTAAAACAAAAGAATCAGTTTTACTGTATTGAAAATAAAAATATAGAACCCAAATCAGTTATAAAGTTGCTTTAAATTTGTAATGCCT